TTGTACTTTTAGGAGCCTGAGGGGTCCTGAATTAAAGAAGTGGTGGGAGTTGTGTGCCTTGAGGAGAATTAGCATTGTCTTGTTTAGCAACAGCCTCAAGGGAGGCCCTTATCCTTTCCTCAGGCAAGGCAGGGTTAAACCCCTTAGGCGGAGGTGAAAAGGCTGATCCGTAAGGGTTGCGAGGGCACTTTTGCTCGCAGAAACACTAGAACTTGGGAGCTCAATGTTACTAGTTATATATGGGCCTTCTTAGATGTTCCTGTTGAAAATTATAAGGTCCCACCTCATCTTATGAAAAAGGTTTTGCACAGCAAAAGACATTAACAAAGTGAAAAGACAACCCAGAGTGGGGAAAAATTTTAGCAATTTGTCCCTCAAAAAACTTGTATCTAGAACAAAGAATTGAAAAAAAAAATCAGATTCTTCCAAATTCAAAGACCTAATAAAAAATGTATCTGACATGAATACACTCTCAGATGAAGAAATACAAATGGCAAATAAATACATGAAAAATGTACAACATCACTGGTCATTTGAGAGATGCAAATTAAAACAACACTGAGATTCCATCTCACTCCAGAAAGAATGGCTATCATCAAGAAATCAATAACAAGTGCTGGTGGGGCTGTGGGGAAAAAGGAATCCTTCTCTACAGTTGGTAGGAAGTGTAGACTGGGGCCACCACTGTGGAAATCAGTATGGTGATTCCTCAAAAAACTAGGATTGGAGGTCCCATTTGGGCTAGTTATTCCCCTCTGGGTATCTTCCCAGAAGAACAAAAAACATCATACCCATAGCAATATATGTGCACCCATGTTCATAGCAGCACAATTTATAACAGCTAAATCTTGGAAACAACCCAAATGCCCATCCACTGAGGAATAGATAAAAAAGATGTGGTATTTTTATACAATAGAGCACTACTCAGCTATAAAGAAGGATAAACTTGAGACTTTTATAGATAGTGGATGCAACTTGAGACCATACTCATAAGTGAAATAAATCAGACTCATATGTGTAAACATTGTATTGTTTCCCTGGTGTGAGAAACTGAAAGAGTAAATGAATTCTAAAATGTACAATAGATATTGTGAAATGGGAAGAAATTGTTCAAAGGGAAAAAGGAAGTAGGATGAGTGAAAGGGAAAAAGAAGAAAATGCAAGTCAGTTATATTATTAGTGTCTCAGTTCATTAAAATGCAAGGTTAGTGCTAATATCTAATATCGATTGGAGAAATTTTTATGCCCATATCTTGTACCCTGAGCAACTACTTAAAAGTTAACAACATGTAATATATTAACTATTGTTATTCTATTAGTTATGAAATTTTGTTTTACTTTTTTCATAAAATAAAAAAAATTATAGGATCCCAATCTTTTCCCAAGCGATGCCCTTATTATTTAACAAATAATAACTCTACGGGGTACAATGTGATATTTATATACCTACAACACAATGACAAAATCAAGCCAACTAATAGCCATCATCTCCCTTAGTTTTGGGGGGTGAAACATTTAAAATTTACTACTAGCAGTTTTGAAATATACATTGGCTGTAGGT